GTAGTTTTAGATTTATTTATCGATTGTCTAATTTTGTCGCTGTGAAACTTAACCTTAGCAGCTACACAAACTTTTTTAAATATTTTCGAATAAATTCTAACATATTCTATGAAATTGGAATTATTATTATAAGTTTTCATAGCATATAGCTCATACAAACGAAACCTACTCTTATGAATACCTACTGTTGCCCAGTCGTTGAATTTAGTCTCTCTATGGAAAGTTAATGTTTTCGATTTAAATATATTGTCAAATTCATTTTTAATTAAACCAAATATCGTGTTATATAAAGTATTTGGATCCTCCGGTATATGGGATAGGGAATTTAAACTATTGCCGATATTATTTTGAAATCTAATTATTCGTTCTGTGGTAATCGGTCTGCAGAGAAATTGGTCTACCTTCTTGCTCATTTTACAATTAAAAGAAGCCAATTGGCCACTATGGTCGGATCTTAAGCAATTTATTATTGATTTAGACACTGCGTCTGTGTTACAAAAGATGTTATCAATACAAGTAGAAGAGGAGGCAGTAATGCGAGTTGGTTCTAAAAAAAGATTAATCAAGTTAAAACTTTGAAATAAATTTATGAGTCTTACAGAAGTAGAACAGTTTTCCAACAGGTTTACATTGAAATCTCCACATATTACTACGTTTTTTTTGGTTGGAAAAATCCGCTTTAAACTGTCTTCCATAATTAATTCAATCTCGTTAAAATTAGCAGAGGGGGGCCTGTATACGCATAAGACGACAAACTGATCCAATTCCACACATGAAATTTCAATAGTTCGTTCAGTAGAAAGATTTGTGATATCCTTACGCTCTTTAAATTTTAAGTTACGCTTAATAATAATCATGGATCCGCCTCTACTTAAGCTCTTTCTTATGAACGAACTGACTATTACATAATTTTCTATATTGTTAATGGCTTCGTAATCTTTCAGCCAGTGTTCTGTAACACAAAACACGTCAACGGAAATATCGTGCAAAAAAAGACTTATTTCTAATGTTTTGCCAGAAAAGCCTTGAATATTTTGATGTACTACATGGAAACGATTAGACTTTTCTGTTGTCGTGTTTTTCAGTTTAAATTATGGTTAGTAAAAAGTATACGATTGCTACTTAAAGTAGGAGCATTGTCGTGGGACTGTGTTATATCTTCTATAACAGCGTCCTTAATATTACAAGATAACAAACTAGCTATATGTCTTAGATACCTTAGGGGTAAAAGTAAATTATCCTCAAAAAGTTTGAAGTTCCTTACGAACTTATTAATGTCAAAACAAAATATAACGTCACTATGACGGCAAGTCAAATTATGAATATGCGAATTTATGTTATATATATACTTATTACGAGCGATGCCTAGGTTAGAGCAGTAAGGGAATGCACTTAGTATGAATTTACACCCACACTTCTCATGAATTCTCAAGAACACGTCAATGCTACTATTTACTTCTTTTTTACTAATGTTAGTACTATCACCTGATATAAGAATCACTGTTGTATATTTATCAAAGTTGCAATCACTTAACAGTGTAATAATTTGACTAAAAGTAGCTCCTGGATAACAATAGTTGACTACTCTTTGTTTTAAGTGGTTACTAAGGTGGTGGCCTAGTCCTACGCCTATTTTATCAGAAAAAACTACCGTTCTTCTGGATGGCCTGGTCGGAGTTCTAATTGTCTTGGTTGACCGTTGACTGTGTCGAACTTCAACAGTTGTAGTGGAGCAGACACGTTTTCCTGCAGCAACGCTGGCATACGATGCACGTGTTGGTTGCGTTGATGACGTGGGTGGTGGGGACGGAGTCTGATTTATTTCTACTGGACCATTTGTTTCACTAAGCTCATCGTGAAGAAGGACTTGAGTAAGTTCTCTATACTCAGTACCCAGCTTTAAAAGCTCATTAGTTGCAGCTGAAAGTTCTTCTAGTTGTTTCTGCGTAGAAAGTAGGTCTTGAGTTCGCGATTGAAGATCTAACTCTAGATTTTTCACTTGTTCGGCCATTTTCACCTTGTCCTTGTGTAAATTTAATTTTTCTGATTTTAGTTTCTTAAGAGTTTTCGATTTCTTTCTTATCAGGTTGGTTAATTTGGAAAATCTTGGGTCTTGCGATTTAGTGCTGCATAATTTACTGTTGCAATCAAAGTCAAGTAATCATTTATTCCATACATTGACTTACAAATAAATGGACGACGGGTCTAATACAAACACCACGAAAAAAATGTCCCAAGTCTACCTATTTAAACGTAGTGACATGTAAAGGAATATGAAAAAGCTAAAACGTTGAATTTAAATTGTAATGTCATCGCAGTACTATCTAATTTTGCTTGCTTCGCTGTCAGTCGAACAAACGAAGACTAAAGCGTGAATGACGCTCTGTATACGATTTTAACGCCCTACAAGTTCGGACACTTTTTAGCGCGGACCCGACGTCCATACAATTGTAAGTCAATGAGTCCATAGGTCAAATTCTTACACTTGAAAACGTCATTTTTTAAGCTACGTTTTAAGCTACCGCTCGTTAACTACGCTGACCTCCTTGAGAAGAAAAGCAAAAAACTCTAGAGATGGCTGTTTTCAAATAAACTTAAATGCTATGGAATATACTTTGAATCATAATAAATGACTCTTGTTGTCTTTCCATACTTCTTTATCTAAAACATACTCTTCAATTTTGTAATACGACTTTTCATTTAAAATACTTTTAATGTAAGTTTCAAACTTAGGAAATGATAATCTTAATATATTCTACGGAATCTTATAGTAAAAACGTATACGGGTGAATATCTCATGCGTAAATTTTGTGAGTCCAGGCTGAGAAACCAGGTGTAAAGTGAAGAAATATTAATGATTTATTTATTATAGTTTAATTAGACGTAAAATGAGCTTAGGGCAAGGATTTCATAAAATTCATTGTACAATAATAATGAATAAAAAATATTAATGTCCCGATTTTCAATTTTGCTGGTGTGTCCACTTTCGGTTTCATTGTATAAAATAGTCGTTCAGGTAAAATGTGTACGCTTTTAAGAAAAACAATTACATGTATGTTATTCACTATTAGAAGCACTAACTAAAATCATTGAAAGTATTGCAATTACCAGTATGTGGGAGACTGGGTACTTGATCAAACTTTGTCCACGCGAAAATTGTAGTTTTGGTGGCAAATATTCAACTGGTTGCAACTGGTAAGTAGTTTAACTAAAAACCATTACTTTCTTGCCCCGCGCAAGCCTCAGTCGTGTATTAGGATCTGGCAGCGAAAAACATGGGCACTATGTTCCATTTCCTGCCAAAAAAGTAATTATATGGTGGCACGTGGGACAAAAAATATTCAGCTTTCCTGGCTCCATTTGGGCTCAATTTTTGTTTTATCCTAAGGTCGTATTCTGAAACTAAATTAAGAGACTAATTTTGTCATTATTTTATCACAATTTAATCGTCTCGGTTTGATTTTTAAGCTTTTACTTTTTTTCCCGTAATTTATTTTTTGTTTTTTAGGTTTCGCAAATTAGAAAAGCATTCAGTTTAAATACAAGTTTTTATAAATAAAAATTATTATTCTGCATTGCTAAATAAATACCCTCCGTACTACCAACAAAAACATCTCAAATAAAATGAAGTAATACACCGCAAATTCTGCACTTAAAAAGCATTAATGAAATTTTTGGTGTACTTGGATAAATATGATAATATTCCGTTTGAGTGGTTCTAACGTTTACTATGAAATTACTCCTTAAAGTATAGTTTATAAACGTTTACATTCAGGGTAAATTTAAAAAACGCTACTTGCGGTATGTTTTCAATAAATAAACACCGAAATCACCAGCCCAAACAATAACACACACAACTGTCGTGACGTATTTTTGACGTTGTTTATTTTTTTTTAAATGTCAGACCCAGGCATTAAAAACTTTATGGTTTGCTAGAGTAGTTACCGAAATAGCAATTAATATTAGTTCTTTTACCTGTTATAACTTCGATATCCGATAAATCGGTATAAAATCATCACCGGCACCTCTAATTAATTAGAAATATCGACATTTGCGTTCCAAATAACACCTCCAAGGTGTTATTTGAATATGGTATGGTAGCGGCACCGTAGTATTATCGTAAAACTATGTGTACCAACATCATTTAATATTAAGCCATATGATTGTTCATTACTTCAGCGTTCCACTAGCTTTGCTACGTTTGCATAATTTATAACTATGCATTCGGAAATACTGTTAGTATCGAACCACAAGAGGAGGTAGTCGTATTTGTCGTATCTGCTGAATGTGAGATTCTAAGCTGGTTTATCTAAAACAAAGCACACAGTCAGATCATTATTAGAGAAAAGACAGTATATGTACAAATCCGTATCGAATACACTGTCAAAAAACTTCTTTATAGAATATATTATAACAAATAAAACACTATACATTCTTCTGTCATACAGTCTTCATTTTTCAGATGTAAACTGAAAGGGATTTTCGCGTATGTTAAAAAATCTAACTCAACATATTTATCCTTTTCCGTAATAGTCGATTGTTTACTTAAATGGTAAGAATTCGTATTGAAGCTGATATTATTGAAGTTTCTTGATTTAATCTTTCATCCTAAATAACTTCTTCATTTGTTCAATTTATTATATTAGTTACTTATATTTTATAAATAGCAATATTCCACATAATTAACGAGGCATTTAGAAGGCATCACTATGTTGTATTGCATGCACAATGAAATTGAAATTCGGCTTTCATGAACTATAAAATCACCAACTGTATTTTGCACAATTAATAGTTCTTGTTCGCAAATAATTAACAAGTAAAACGTCTTAACAACCCAACAAACACTTTACGAGGATTGTTTGATTATAATTTCGCTAAGTCTATAGATATGATTAGTGACGACTGTACGTTAATTGTATTAACCAATCCCTAGTCTACTGAAACCTCTACCTCTTTTTTGTTACACAGATAAAATAAACTCAGAATATCACAACTGTACAATGGACAAAAATTTACTGTTCGACAAATATTTGCGGAAAATCGACTACACATTTCGTAGGAGTGGTTTGTATCTTAGAAACCGTGAAAACTATAATGTGACCAAGGCAAGACTCTTGTATTGCTTTAACTTTATTTTGGTGAACCTAGACGTTGCAGGGAGTATGGTTTGGATTGCAAAGGGTGAAGCATTCGAAGATGGACTGGTTTCTGTCACTCATACAGCACCTAGCGCGATTCTGGCCCTGTTATGTGACTTCAAGTCATTATCGTTTATGTGGTATCATGACTACGTAGACAAATTGGTCTTTAAATTGAGAGAACTGGAAACCAAAATGACTTTAAACAGTATTGCCTATGAAACATGCGTCGAAGAACCAATAAAATTTTTAGAATTTGCATTAAAAGTATCAGGTTTATCCAACTGGCTTTTGATACTTGCGTATCCATTAATGCCGCTTTCTATATCGATATATAATTACTTGGTATTAAAGAAAGTGGAATTGGTGCTACCATTTCTCATCTCCTATCCGTTTGATGCGTATGATATAAAAATATACCCGTTTGTACTGCTCAATAATTTTTACGCTGGTAAGTTATCTGCCTTTTCTATTAATTTTACTATTTCTATACGAGTACATACATATATTAATACCTACTAACACGCACGCACGCACGCACGCACGCACGCACGCACGCACGCACGTACTCACGCACGCACGCAGGCACGCACGCACGCACGTATGCATGCACGCACGTATGCACGCACGCACGCACGCACGCACGCAAGCACGCGACGAGTGCGCAGGACCCATCTCGTCCATGCTTTTTGATGCAAGTTACTTGCAAAGTAAAGACGTAAGCGCGTCCCGCTCCCTGTAAACTTGCCGTGTCACCTTTAAAATCCGTTTTAACTTGTTTCATATTTTGTAGTTTCGAACTAATTACTGATACGTAGGTAAAACAATTAATTGCAATCAGCTGATATTATTATTTCACCGCCGGCCGAACGAATTGGTAACGAATAGTGAATAAGCAAATTATTAAGTAATTCCTGACTAAATCGGTGACGAGGTTGTACATTCAGAATTTTAAAAGCAATTTGAAAAAAAAAAATATTTTCAGAGACGATGGCAATATTTTGGATATTCTCATCTGAATCTTTTTACTACACCTGCGCTACTTTTATCATAGTTCAGTTTAGGTTGTTACAACAAGAATTACGACTAATAACCCCTAAAAGGAGTGGCAACAAAAATGGAAGACAGAACGAAGACAAAGATTATGAAACGAAAATAATGGAATTGATTAATTGGCATCAGGAACTTATAGAGTAAGTAAAATGTTCTACTCATGTGTTCCAAATAATGTACTCATAAATGCCTACATACAGATACAAGGACTGCTAAAATAATACTTAATTTTTTTTCTTGTAGGTCACAAAAAATGTTTACTTTAGTGAAAGGTTAGGTAATAATCTACTATATTTTTTTACACGGATCCCTTAGAATAACGAGGGTCATGCCAAAAGAACTTAGATACTTTTTAATCACTTGTTTCATACCGGCAAGTTATAGACCGTCGTAAAGGCATGTTTTTTGCTAATAAATTTGAAAATGGAACACGTCTTAAATCGTATTCTTTTTATTTATTTTTTTTATTTTCGGATCTGGCGGGTATTTTGTTCGCAACAATGGAGCTCTCTCGACGTGATTTTCGTGTTATGATTTATTATCACTACAAAAAAGGTTTAAATCCGCAAGAATGTTTAGAACTTTTAGCGATACTGCTTGTCTACGAGCTATAGTTTTCAATTGGTTTATTGAATTTAAAAGAAGACGGAGAAGCTTTGAAAATGAGGCGAAGTCAGGTCGGCCGCCAACCGCGGTTACTCAAGAAAACGTCCAAGCTGTCGAAAAAGTAATTTGTGAAAGCCGACGAACTACTTAAGTAGAGCTTGAGCAAGAACTGGGCATTGGATCAGCAGCATTGCAAACTATTATTCACGGGCAACTGTCCCTCCATAAGCGTTGTTCGAGATGAGTTCCGCACAACTTAACGATGAGCAGAAAGAACGTCGCGTGGATTGGTGCAAATTTATGATAGATGAATTCGACACTGGCGAGAAAAAAAAACGTTTATATCATAAACTAAAACTACTAAAAGGTAACAAAACATGGTTATATAACTACGATCCTGAAACAAAGCGACAGTCCACTGTATGGTGCTTTGAAGATGAGCCGACGCCAACGAAATGTCGTCGTACACGAAGCACTCAGAAACAAAGTGGTCATCGATATTTTCCAAGTTATTTAGATGAATGGAAAATTGTATACGTGTTCATGCTGAATATTTTGAAAAAATCGATACCTGTAATAAAGAATAAATTTTATAATTTTTGAAAATCTAATTTCTTTTGGCGTGACTCTCGTACTTTAAAATCTAAGTAGGAAGCTACCTAGGTAAGATGTTACTCCTTGTATTGTAGAAATTTATTTACTCATTTGGTACACCGTATTCCGACCATTTATTATGACAGAACAAAGTTTTAACTAGATTACTGTTTGTTTATGACGCTACTCCGAGACGACGTCGTCGAAGTTTTAGACCTACTAGCTTTTGTATCTTATGTTAATACTTCTAATTAAATTTAATGGTTGACGACGATCAGCGACAAGTATTTTTGCGCCCGTGCATGTCTAGTAGGATATTTTTCAGTGGAAATGGCGACGTGTACGGCACACATTTAACTTGAGAGTAACAGCCGGAAGAAGAAATGAAGCAGCAGAGCTCCTTGTTCGTACAGAAAAATACTGCCACCTTGCTTATTTCTGCCATCAAGCAGTAATGTGAGCATTACTGCGATGAAATTACAGACACATAAAGCTTGCCAACTTATGTCTCAGGGTAACGGGCGCAGTGGTAGTGCCTCTCAGATGTAGTGATTTAAAACTCGAGTGGCACGGTAACTGTCATAGCCTTGTCGCATACCACCAGGCGCACTAATTGTTTGTCTCGTTGCTCGATATTATAAAAAAGAAGACACTAATGTTAAACGAAGTTATAAAGAGATGCAGCAAGATTGGGGAAAGAGGCGGAGCTGTTGTCTTCGAGGCCTTATGTACCAAAAGGGTACTTTCAGACAACGTTGTTAGACAACAATCACTAATTAATTTTGCCGTATTAAGTGGTTTTTGAATATATTTTTGGGGGCCAATTTTTACCCTTGAGATCCTACTGACCCCTGGGTGGTGCTAAAGAGCAACAACTACTCGTGGTAGGTTTTGGCCGTGGCTGGTAACCACCCTCCCGACGTAGTCGAGTCGTCAAATGGTTTATCCGTGTTCCGGCTCGTATTCGGGAGTTGCCATTAGGAGGTCGGGTCTGAATAGTTGCATTGCGTCTAACGACGAGTAGTAGCTGCTTGTACAGCCACACTGCGCACTCGTTTCTGGAGGCTAGCGGGATCCGAAGCACGGTGCACCGCTGGCTGACCGTGGGAAGTTAGAGGCCCAATTAGCGGGAAAGCCACCCGTGAAAGGCTGCCCCGCCACCCAACGAAAAATCCCGAAATGCTCCACCTTGCCGGTTGGCGACCGGAGGGAAGGACCAGGTGGCCATCGCCGGGGGGGTTCGGGCGTCCCCGCGGTCTCTAAGCTGATTGTACCCTCGTGTGGCAGTGTGAGTTTGCTGCTTGGTTGAACGACGTAAGGCCTCGTTCAATGCCTTCCTCCTGCCTATTCGCTTCTCCAATTTAAAACTATGAGTCACAAAAAAGGAATGCATTTTTCACAGCGGTTGCACGTCCTCCCATTGGCTACACTCAAATATCGAAGCGGTCCACCACCACCTGGAAACCGACAAACCGTAGCTACTGTTCCTCACCGAGACGCAGATCAGATGTACGGTTGACGCGACGTACCTCAGCTACCCTAGGTATATTCTGGAGCACAAGTTTTTATCTCGTGCCGGAGTCTCTGTGTACGTTCGCGATGATATCTGTGTCAAGGCGTCTCAAGAATCTTGAGGCACCAAGTCTTTCTATTTTGTGGCTTCTAGTTGACACGGGAGTTACACAAATAGTGTACTGCTGTGTCTACCGCTCGCATAGTGGAGATCAGGAGACGACCAAGCTGTTCAAATATCTGAGCGAGACGTCTGATGAGGCTCAACATAGGTACCCAACGGCGCAACTAGTTATTCTGAGGGACTTCAATGCACACCATCAAGAATGGTTGTTCCCGTACCAGATGACCGATCATGCTGGGAGAGAGACGCGTAAACTTGCATTAACGCTAAGCCTTTCCTGCTTGTCAGTTGCGCCACCAGGATTCCAGATGTTGAGTCTCATACGGCTAATTGCCTGGACCTACTGCTAACAACTGATTCAGACTGATACTCTGTGGTGGTGGATGCACCGTTGGGTATTTCCGACCACTTTCTGGTGAAAGCTGTATCTGCATACTCCCCACCTGATCAGGACCTCAGTGGCACGAGACGGATGTGGCGATACAAGTTAGCAGATTGGGAGGAAATGCGCCATTTTTATGCTTCATATTCCTGGAAGGGTTGCTTTTCTTCAGGAGACTCGTCGAGCTGTGCTGATGCTGTAGTCAAGGGGTTGCGTTTGGGTATGGAGTATTATATACCATACTCTGATGTACTATTGACCTATCTCAGTGACTTCCATACTCTGCAAAACTATGGAATGTGTACTAATAACCGTCTCCTGTCGTACCTTGCAGACAACGACCTCCTCAGTCATCGCCAGTACGGATTCCGACGAGGGCGATCTGCTGGAGATCTTCTTGTGTACGCCTCTCATCTATTCTTCCGAACATCGGGCGATATATAGAGTTCCTCAGGGTTCCGTACTATCCGCAACTCTCTTTCTATTGCATATCAATGATATGTTAATTACAGGAGCCTTCGGGTATGCTGAGGACAGCATAGTTGTGGACAGGTACTTGACCAATGCAAGGGTCAGTGGAGAAGAAATCCAATCTTGTCGAAAGTCCATGGTTAGTCGTTTGAATTTGACGCTTAAGGCAGTATCCAATTGGGGCGATGCCAATCTTGTCAAATTTAATGCTACCAAAACGCAGGCGTGTTAATTCTCCACAAAACGGAGTCCCTTTCACCTGACTCCGACTTTTCGTGATGTATCCATACCGATAGCCGATCATCTCCAGCTACTTGGAATTGACCTGTCATCCAATCTGAACTTCGGCAGAAACATTGAATTCATAGCCAAAAATGCAGCCAGGAAGCTTCGCATCCTTTCCAAGGTGAGGCGTTACTTCACACCGGGACAGTTGCTTCAGCTGTACCACTTATAGAACGGCTCTGCTAGCTACCAACTGGCCACCTTGGATTTAATAGACAAGCGTGGCAAGAGGCTTATAGCTGACTTGAAATTAGTAGAGGCGAAGCTGCAGAGCCTTGAACATCGCGGTAAAGCTGCCTGCTTATCGGTATTCTACAGGATATATCACGGAGAGTGTGCGATTGAATTGCATAATTTGATTCCGCCTTCCCCTGTCCATCATCGGGGGACTAGACGTGGGTTGGGATTCCACCCCTATGTCATGGATATTTCCAGGATTCGCACAAAGCGTTTCGCTTCCACATTTATATGGCGAGCGGCTAGAGAGTGGAATTCCCTAACTGCGGACTTGTTCCCCGAACGCTATAACTTGGACCTTTTCAAGGTGAGAGTGAATAGGTATTATTTAGGTGTACATGCTACATCGTCGAATTCATCATCACTTTCCATCAGGTGAGATGGAGGTCAAATGCGCACTTATTTTTTATAAAAAACAATATATATAGTATACTTTTTTTAAAGCACACACTCATAGCTCCACACTAGGGAAACCTTGTATCGCTGGTGCCATGGACATTGGACATACGCATAGACAACCACAAATTACACCGAAACTCACGAGAGAAATAAACGTTGGCCATACAAATATTTATCGCGGCCCAGGAATTGAACCCGGGACCTCTGCGTGGCAGTCCAGCATGGTAACCGTTCGAGCACGGAGGTAGTTAGTGTCGATCTTAACACAAACATACGGCGACTTTTAGCAGTGATGCAAACGCGATGCAAATGCGATGCAAACGCGATACAGACGCGATGCACGCTTAAAAAAATAACTTATTTATTTATTTAATGTAATTTTTTATTTATGTTTACAATTAAGAAAACAAAATATTGTGCATAAACCTATACTGATTTTTCGCACATAATTATTTAACATTAGCGACTGTATTGTTGCATTCGCGCGTTTCACCTATAAATCGCAAGTGTGGCTGATCAAAGTCGCCGTGTGTAACCACTCTTAGGTAAAGCGCATAAGGTCCCACTAGACAGAAGTGTTACTACATTCAATTAATATGATAATCAAAAGACAATTTATTCTCTTCAACTTGACGAACTTTGTCGACTTATTGAAGAACTGGAACTTTCGTATAATGAACGATTTTTGAAGTACAGTAACATCTACTTTTTGATATTAATACAAGTTTTCTTTGGCAGGGCCGTGAATATAATAGAGACAATCTATTCTAAATCTACACTATTCAACTTCATGTCAAGTTCAGCTATGATTTGCCTCGTTGGATTCAATGTCACGGTTAGTAACCTGTGATGGCTATGTTTAGTGTTTTTGTCCAATAAAAAGAAGAACTGGTGTACGTAGCAAATTGTAAATGATAATTAACTCCAGATACAAAAATAGGGGACTTATAGTTTATATGTTTATAGTTTGGAGCCTATGTCGGTGAGTCTGACTTTGTCTGTGGCATTGTAGGTCCTAAACGGCTAGACTGATATTAAAGTTTTTTTTATTTGAAGGTTAATTTAATCGGGATGGTTTCTAGCTTCGTTTGATGGTCATCTGTTCAACTCTTTAAAAATCATCAGCTCTTTTCCAGTTAATGTAGAGGCCTTAGTGATAAAATGAATATTCATTTTACTTCTTTTCACGTATCCGATCGACTTGTAATCTGTGCCTCTACCACGAGTACAGTGTGACAGTTGTCGCTAGCGACCATGTAAATTACTTCACAGTTTTATGTCACAAATTATACAGTGCCCTGCAGTGCAGCGGTCACAAGAATAAAGAATATTTTGTATAGGAGAAAGTCTATTAATTTGGACCATTTTTTTCAAACGCGTATTAAATATATATTTTTCCAATTTTTGCAAACGTCTATTGTATAAAATGATAGATAATAGATATAAATTATTATAGACATCTAAAAAAATCAACAAAATGTGAGACCCGAGCTTTGTTCCAATTTAGCCGATTGGTTGTGAAATTTGGACCACGGGTCTCTTAGGAACAATAAATAACAATAATAATAAACAATAAATAATTTTGGGGGTTGATGTTGCTCGCTTCCGTAGGTTTACCCTTGAGACCCTACAAGTGACCCCTGGGTGGTGCTAAAGAGCAATAACTACTGGTGGTAGGCTTCGGCCGTGGCTAGTCACCACCCTCCCGACGCAGTCGAGTCGCCAAATGGTTTTTACCGTGTTCCGACTCGTGTTCGGGAGTTGCCATTTGGAGGTCGGGTCTGAACAGTTGCATTGCGTCTGACGGCGAGTTGTAGCTGCTTGTACTGCCACACTGAGCACTCGGTTCTGGAGGCTAGCGGGATCCGAAGCACGGTGCACCGCTGGCCGACCGTGGGAAGTTGGGGGCCCAAGTAGCGGGAAAGCCACCCGTGAAAGGCTGCCCCGCCACCCAACGAAAAATCCCGGAATGCTCCACCTTGCCGGTTGGCGACCGGAAGGGAGGACCAGGTGGCCATCTCCGGGGGGGTTCGGGCGTCCCCGCGGTCTCCAAGCCGATTGTAACCTCGTGTGGCAGTATGAGTCTGCTGCTTGGTTGAACACGACGCAGTGCCTCGTTCAACTGCCTTCCTCCTGCCTATTCACTTCTCCAAAACAGAATGAAAAACTTTAAAAATGGAAAAAAGTATACACAGCGGTTGCACGTCCTCCCACTAAAAGTGCACCTCACTAACATCCGAGGTCTGCACTCAAATCTCGATTCGGTCCACTACCACCTTGAAACCGACAAACCGCAGCTGCTGTTCCTCACAGAGACGCAGATCAGATGTCCGACTGACGCAGCGTACCTCAGCTACCCCGGGTATACTCTGGAGCACAGGTTCGTACCTCGTGCCGGAGTCTGTGTGTACGTTCGCGATGACATCTGTGTCAAGCGTCTCAAGAACCTTGAGGCACCGAGTTTTTCAATTTTATGGCTTCTGGTTGACACAGGAGTTACACAAATAGTGTACTGCTGTGTTTACCGATCGCACAGTGGAGATCAGGAGACGACCAAGCTGTTCCAATATCTAAGTGAGACGTCTGATGAGATTCAGCATAGGTACCCAGCGGCGCAACTAGTCATTCTGGGGGACTTTAATGCACACCATCAAGAATGGTTGTTCCCATACCAGAAGACCGATCACGCTGGGAGAGAGACGCGTAAACTTGCGTTAACGCTAAGCTTATCCCAGCTTGTCAGTGGCGCCACTAGGATACCAGATGTTGAATCCCATACGGCTAATTGCTTGGACCTTCTGCTGACAACTGATCCGGACCGATACTCTGTGGTTGTGGAGGCCCCACTGGGTACTTCCGACCATTGTCTGGTGAAAACTGTATCCGTATACTCCCCACCCGATCAGGGCCCTAGTGGTATGAGACGGGTGTGGCGATACAAGTTAGCAGATTGGGACGAAATGCGCCATTTCTTTGCGTCATATCCCTGGCAGGCGTGCTTTACTTCAGGAGACTCGTCGAGCTGTGCTGATGCTGTAGTCGAGGTCTTGCGTTTGGGTATGGAGTATTACATTCCATACTCTGATGTACCCAATGGACCCCAAGCTCGTCCATGGTTTAACGCTAATTGTAGTTGTGCTGAAGCACGTAAACAGTCCGCGTACCAAGCTTGGGCAGATGCTCGACTACGCAAAACTCCGAGTACTCAGAACATGAAGAAAGCTTTTAATAAGGCCGCCAAGAAGTGCAAAAGCATGTTACGTAGGGCCAAGTTCGACCATGTGCGCCGCATAGGAGCCAAGCTTGCCTCTTATCCAGCAGGCAGCAAATCCTTTTGGTCCCTGGCCAAAGCGGTCGAATCGAACTTTTGTCGCCCATCTTTGCCACCTCTGCTGAGGCCGGATGGTTCGCTGGCTCATACTGCGGAAGAGAAGGCGAATCTCTTTGCCTCACTCTTTGCAGAAAATTCGCGTCTAGATGCCGCAGGGACCCTACCACCTACTTTACCTCAGGCTGGCTGCACTATGGCGCCAGTTCGCATACGCCAAAAAGAGGTACTTAGAACTCTGCGAAATCTAGACGTGAATAAAGCTAGCGGGCCAGATGGAATTCCAGCAATAGTCCTGCGTAACTGTGCACCTGAGTTGTCTCCTGTTCTCACACGCCTGTACCGCCTCTCACTTGAGACTGGTGTAGTTCCCAGGTCGTGGAAGCTTGCAAACGTGCAACCTGTACCAAAAAAGGGAAGCAGAGCTGACCCTGTCAACTATAGACCTATCTCAGTCACTTCCATACTCTGCAAGACTATGGAACGTGTACTCAACAACCGTCTCCTATCGTACCTTGAAGACAACGATCTCCTCAGTGATCGCCAGTACGGATTCCGACGAGGGCGATCTACTGGGGATCTTCTTGTGTATGCCTGTCACATATGGAGCGAGGCTATAGAAAAGCAAGGCGAAGCACTTGCAGTGTCTTTGGACATTTCTAAAGCCTTTGACAGGGTCTGGCACGCAAGCCTTTTAAGCAAGCTTCCCTCTTATGGGCTTCCCACTGACCTTTGCAATTGGATCTCGGATTTCTTGAGCGAACGTTCGATTCGAGTGGTCTTAGAAGGCTACTCTTCCGAACATATGGCGATAGATGCCGGAGTTCCTCAGGGTTCCGTACTGTCTGCAACTCTCTTTCTGCTGCATATCAATGATATGTTAATTCCAGGTACCTTTGCGTATGCTGATGACAGCACAGTTGTAGATAGGTACTTGACCAATGCAAGGGTCAGTGGAGAGGAAATCCAGTCTTGTCGAGAGTCCATGGTTAGCCGTTTAGATTTGACACTCCAGGCAGTCTCCGATTGGGGCAATGCCAATCTTGTCAAATTTAACGCTACCAAAACGCAGGCGTGTCTATTCTCCACAAAACGGAGTCCCTTTGAGCTGACTCAGACTTTTCGTGATATATCCATACCGATAGCCGATTGTCTCCAGCTACTTGGAATGGACCTGTCGTCCAATTTGAACTTCGGCAGATACATTGAATCCACGGCCAAAAATGCAGCAAGGAAGCTTGGGATCCTTTCCAGGGTGAGGCGGTACTTTACACCGGGACAGTTGCTCCAGCTGTACCAAGCACAAGTCCGATCGTGCATGGAGTACTGCTGCCACCTTTGGGATGGCTCTGCGACATATCAACTGGCCACTTTGGATTCAATTGACAACCGTGCCAAGAGGCTTATAGGTGACTCGGAATTAGTGGAGGCGAAGCTGCAGAGCCTTGAACACCGCCGTAAAGTTGCCTGCTTATCGGTATTTTACAGGATATATCACGGAGAGTGTGCGATGGAATTACATGATTTAATTCCGCCTTCCCCTTTCCATCACCGGGGGACTAGGCGTAGGCTTGGGTTCCACCCCTATGTTGTGGATATTCCAAAGATTCGCACGAAGCGTTACGCTTCCACATTTATATGGCGAACGGCTATGGAGTGGAATTCCCTGCCTGCAGACTTGTTCCCTGAACGTTATAACTTGGACCTTTTCAAGGCGAGAGTGAATAGGCATTAT